GGAGGTCGATTTCAAATGTTTATGTAAGAAAAAGAAAAAGTAGAAACTGTTCTTGAGGAATTAACAGCTACAGCAGACTCGTATGCAGAAAAGGCAGAGGCAACTAGCGACTTGACATACCGTATATACTCGCGTAATGAATCCACCTTTTTTCTTTTTCAGAAAAGTTGATGCAGATTCGGGAAGAGGGTTTATTACGTAAAAGAAAAAAAAAAACGCACCAGATAACAGTGAAAATTCCCCCATGCGGTTTTGCTTGTATTGGTTCGCGAAATGTGCGGTGAATTGTTTTTGTAGCCCGAAGTTCTTGCTTTCTCTTGTAATGAACACCTATGGATCGACGTGAAAGTGTCGTTCAGGAGGTCACTTTCCATGCTCCAGCGAATGCTTGACCATCTCTTGCGATTAAAACCAGCCGTGTAGATAGTGTACCGGCCAAACGCACCCTGCACAGCAGGTGTCCCCAACTAAGTTCACTATGACAAACCCTACAACAAAAACGCACCATCGGATGGCGGCGCACAAACATTGCGGGTGCACGACGTGCCGTCGGTGCGGTTCTGCTTTGCGTGTCCTCTGAGACGGGGGGGGGGCATGCCGTGTTTCTACGTTGCGGGCCCGTTGTCTCAGAGGTCATGTGCTTTGTTCTTTGCTGTGTTTTCTTGCTGCTGTGCTTTCGTGGCATTATAAGCAAGGATGTTTCTCCTGTATTCGACAGATGGCGCTCTGCTGCAAAAGGCGCGACTTGTAAATTTTGATTGCCGTCATCCGAGCTCCCGCTGCTCGCAACTGTTTAGCATGGTTGTTAAACTATATTTTGACTTTTATTACGTCATTATTTTATAATATAATGGCTTTATTTAATGTTGGTTCGATCGTCAATGGCACAAGTTATCATATTAAGTCAAATGAATAAATACATTAATTTTTTTTTCTTTTTAAAAGATCAATTTTGGGGGTGGGTTCATTCTACGAGTGGGTACATTATGCGAGTAAATATAGTACATCATCAAGTCAAACACCCTTAGGAAGACTGCCGAGACCAAGCAGCAGGAGACAGCGGGCATTCAAGAAAAGTGATTACTGGATTATTCAGGAATATTGAAAGAATTATTTATGCCGAAGTACTATTATCAAACGTTTTCTAGAAAGAAAGTGTAATTGCAGCCATCTTTTCGATGTCTACTCCAGCAGCGTTGCTCTTCTTTGATGAATTCTAATGATTTCAAGCCTCCATTCTCTCTTTTGAATATGTTAATTGAGTTTCTGACAGACGTTGTGGTCTTTGAAAGTTCACAGACATCGCCTTGAAAGTCCTTGAGTTTTTGACATGTAAACGAGCATGAACCCTTTGGATTATTCTATTGAGTGTTTTCATCGAATGGCAGAGCTGATTTGATAGTCTCACACAGGTGTGGGGCATTGAACACCAGTACACACCACAAAAAAAAAAAAAGCATTAAAGAAGTTGAAAGTGCTATGCTTAAAGCAGTTCAGATGTGTGATGTCTGAAAGAGAACATTCAAGTGGCAAGACTTGAGAGAGGTGTCCCTCCAGCCTGAGCACAAGGTTGGTCCGACTCCTCTGGCTCTCCCATTATTTATGCCACTGATTCAAAACACACACGTATGTATTGGAGGGTGTCTGCCAAACTGGGAAAACCAGGAATTCTCAATGATTCCTGCTAGTCTGGAACATCTTGGGGAGGGGGGGGGGGGACAACGACAATTTGGGGAAATTTGCTGTAATTTTTTTAAGGGAATGAAAGTCTCTGCAATGCTGACTTGGTATTTTGTGAACACATTTCTCAAAGGTTGTGCGAATATTCGAATGCTTCGAATACTTGTATTTACCTTGATTCGAATTTGCACTTTTTAAAATTTAAAGTATTTGAAATCAACAAATAGATGTATACTATTAGTTCGAATGTTACCCCTGTAAAGGTTGTTCACTGCAGTAAACGAGTGCTAAGCCATGACAGCACCTATTCAAGTGTATATCAGTTTGTGTGTAATCCCCTGCAAGGATAGTTTAATTGTAATAGGGGTGCTAAGCAATGAAAGCACCTATCCAGGGGAAATCTGCACTACCACAAAGCCCCACTTCAAAGTTAAATGAACATATTACCCTCACATCGATTTACTTTACCCATTGCATCGTTTAAAAATCTTGTTATAGTGGCTTATGTGCTCTAAATATACCATCGAAAACGGTTATATCGAACCCACATATATCGAATTTTTCGGTATATCAAACTCGCAAGTTATCTCCTTGAAATTCCTTTGTAAAAGTAAAGAAATTCTCACATTTATATCGAACGGTATTTTTTACCCGCCTTTGAAAGGTGCGCTTCAACACAAACGTACGCACGCATGCATGCGCGCGTGCACACATGCACACACACACACACCCACACACACGTGCACACACACACACACACACAAACACACACTCTCTCTCTCTCTCTCTCTCCGTGGCACCGCGCGCTAGTTGGAAGGTGCGCTTTGGCACTCGCAGTGCCCGTCACAGTGCCCAGGGGCTCGGACTGCACCATCTCTTAACTTGCAGAACGGCTTTGTTTTTTTTTCTCTCTTTCTCTAGCTCATGCTTTCTCTGCATACTCGTCGGCTCGATTAGCAGGAACGAAGGAGCCGACGTTTTCTCCTTTCGCCTTTTCTGTTATTTTTTTGTCGTTGTTTTGCGAGTTCTGATCAGCCAATCACAGCTCGCGCCTTTTGCTGTTGCCTTCGCAGGTCGCCATCGCTTCGCGAGCGCTTTGTTGCTTCCACTATCGCGTTGCCTACATACCACGCTACCACCATATGTGCAGCATTCTTCTTTTGTATGCATGGTGTGTAAAGTGGCTGTGGACTCCTTGAATTGTGTACTTCTCGTGTAGCCATGGCCAGCGTCAAGAAACGCAAAGCCCTTGACTTTGCGACGAAGACGAAGTTGAAGGCTATTCAATGTGTCAAGGCGAGCGAGAAATGTTCGACCGTCGCGGATGACTTCGGAATACCACGGAGCACTCGAGTACCTTGTTGAAAAACAAGGCAGATATCAAGGCAAAGGCGGCGGAGCCGCAAACTATGGGAACCTGTCATGTACGGACTTTTGCCCACGGGAATGTAAAAAAGGCACTCTATGCCTGGTTTTTAGAAGTGTACACGAAGAATATTCTGGTGGATGGCCCAATGCTGATCGCAAAAGCCAAATGGTTTGCCGCTGCACTTGGTGAAACAACTTTGCCGACAACATTGGGTGGCTTCACCGATTTAAGCAGCGCTACAACATCGTTGGCAAAACCAATTCTGGCGAAAGCGAAGCTGTCAGCAGCCAGGACATCCAGCTGTGGATGACGAAAAAGTGGCCGGAAATCTCCGTGAAGTTTTCTCCCGCGGAGATCTTCAATACCTGGCGAGATGTGAAGAGAGACACAGTGGTAAACTGCTTCCGCAAGGCAGGCTTTGAGACGGCGAAACTTGCGGAAACCGATTCAGATGACGACGAGCGCATAGACGACACGTTTCCCGAGTTGACGTGCCGCTGCCCGGCAGCAGTTCTGCACGAAGTGTCTGCGGACGACTTCGTGGAAGCCGGCTGCAATATCCAGGCAAACAGCTCATATGACAAGAAGGATCGTCTGGACAAGGCGCTGGCTACATGCATATACTCTGCCGCTGAAGTGGCGGCAGCGTTCGGCATCATTCGCGATTGTCTTGGCCGCATGGAGGGAACCAGGCTGTCGCACGTGGACAACCTTGACAAGATCGAGACTAGCGTTTTCAACATTTCAAAAACAAAAAATCAGGCCAAGATTAGCGTTTTTTTTTCATGCAAATAAATCATTCTTTGGCGGCGTGTGTGCGTAATTAGTTGTTATTTTTGAATGCGCTTATTGTAGCTGATGATCGTCTACAGGTAAGCTCACGTAACCTGTATTGCTTTATATCAAATTTTTCATATATCGAACTAATTCGGGATCCCCTTCGAGTTCGATATATCTGTTTTCGACTGTAGTTAGTAAATTTTATAACGTAACATGTTTTACAGGCTACCATTTGCATTCTACCGAAAGTCAAATTCTGCTGTTTTTCAAAGTTGTTTCGACTTCCTTTGAACGAAAAAGATAGGCATTAGCCCAGGCCTGGTTTCAATTTCTAAAATATCTGTTGCAGGTTAGTTGGGTAATGATAAATATGACCATGGCCACTAAATTTGCACAGATATGATATTTTGTTCTTGAAATGCATATAGTATCAAATTGATATTTGAAGAGGCGTTGTTGTGAAAGAATGAATTCAACCCTATTTATATTTATTTTCTGGTCAAGTTTATCTGACTGAAGGTCCTCCCTATTGCTCATCCTTCTGCCCAAAACATTTGTTATTTCAATAACCTGATTCTTATCATCATGAACATGCTTCACCCAAACCTAGTGTGCTGGTATTCGAATAATGGTATATACATTGAATAACTTTCCATTTTGTGTTCATAATAATGAAATCCAATGTGTTAATAATTCATGTGTAATTGCCGAGGATCGACCTACGGTATCGAGCTCCAAACACAATACTGTGAGAATTGATGTGCCAGTATGAATTGTCTGCAAGTGTACAGTGCTCTAAACTCGTCTAACCTAAGTAGCACTAGTTAACTACAATCAATAGGGGGCTAATGATCTTGACAAAGGCAGAATGAACAGATAAGGGCCAAGTATATTAGTCTAGGTTATTTGAGCTTAGTACTTTGTAGTTAACGTCTTGTTATCTAATACCTATGAGCCATATACAGCGCACATACAAGAACATATGCCGCAGATATGTGCTACAGATCTGGAAAATAACATGCATGATTGAATCTCCAAATGTTGTTAACGTTCCACTTGAGCATAGTCGAGATTCAATGTTGAATGTAGGGAAATATGAGTGTGTTTTGCTGTCTGTAATTTATACAAAATTGATCTTGAAAGAGTAATAATTTACTCTTTTGTCTTTTAGGACCTATCACACCACAGGGAACAGGATTTGTGGCAGTGCAGCAAGTTCATGAACAAACGGTATGCTAGTTTTTTCTTCATATTTTAGCATAATTTTTTTTATAATGCACTGTAGGCCAATTGTGTTGATTCCCCCCCCCCCCCCCCCTTTTTTTGCACCCCTCAACAGTGGGTAATAGATTTTTGAGACTTGGTGGATATTTCTGATTTCATAAATGCCCAGTCAAGGTTCCCATAGCACCAATGAATTGTCCGGGCTGATTTTTTTGACGACCAGAGTTCAATATTCCGGACCGAATCGCTCATTTTAAGCTATGCTGTTCGATATTAAAAGCCGTCATGTTGGATTTTTGGTTAGCTTTGTCGAGTTTGGTTTCAAGTGGATATTTATCCGTAGCGGCAGACGGCATATGCATTGCACATTCACAGGACACTTTTTGACCTCCGAAATTGCTTGCTGCAAGTCCCAGCGCCAATGGGTGATGCGTTGGCATTGTTTCAATCTCTGAAATGTAATTTAGTTCCAGTAGCAAATTGACCAACACAGAAAAAGTTTGATTGCAAGCGCAGCTGACCACGGGACCCGATCGTCCTCTGGAATGCTGACCGTACAACAGCTTGCCCAGCAAGTTGTTCGTGACGACACGGCTAGTGATCACGTCAGTGTTGTCCGACTCTCAGGCCGCTCGCTTGTTTATAAAAGTATTACATTACAAATTAACGGCTCGACCGAATTCGGTCGAATTTCGCCAACTTCACTGTTAACGTACAAGAATCAACCCACACAAAACAGATTGTGGTTGAAAATTGGGTGTCATGATCTCTTTAAGCGACAGCCCAGAAGCGCCTACGTTCACTGCCAGAATTGCTGTAGCATAGCGAAGTGTGCATTGCTTGCAGAAAGCTCGTAATCACTGCGTTGGCCTAACAGGCTACTCGTCTCATCTGTGCACAGTCTGAAGCGGAGTGGGCTTTTTCTACAGCAAACGGATCGGTAGGCATGGGGTGCGCAGACTAGGGCGAAGTGCTTCAAGCAACTAGCCAGTAGATTTGACTCTCTGCGGTCGTTCTGCGTTTAAAAAAAAACTCAGTTTTCGCTTACAAGTAGATCGTGAAAGACATATGTATTGCAGACAGCCGAATATGTCCATTCTGTCGCTGTACCATGCTGTATATACTGGACCCCACAGTAGTTACTAAATGCTCTTTGGCGTCGCCACCACGTGTGCCATCTCATGGTTGGGTAGGAGTGACAAAAACTTTTCTGCACTTCAGCAAAAAGTCAGAAAGGGCTTTGTGGTGAGCACTCTAGGCAATATTTTCTGTGGCACTGCATTTGTTCCTTTGTTGGCAAAGATGGCGCACGTTCGAAGGTGCAAATTTGTAGCTGGGGGCAATGCGTAGTAAGTTTAGTGCATAGTTATGTCACCATCCCCAGCAGGTATATATTAACGAGGTTTCACTGTACTACTTTTTTGTATGTAACCGGGTTTAAGCATTATCTCTCTAGGTGGTTTAAGGTTGCCATCCCCAGCAGGTATATATTAACGAGGTTTCACTGTACTACTTTGTTTGTATGTAACCGGGTTTAAGCATTATCTCTCTAGGTGGTTTAAGGTTGACACCAGCAGTATGATGTGCTATATATACAACCTTCCATGAGATGATCCCATGATCAACCGACGTTTTTTTGGCATTAGTTGCCTTACGTTATCCACATTTGTATCCTTTCCTTGTGGGGGTGCTATCACACCCTGTAATGTCGTTTGCACCTCATGGGACACACGTCTCGCAGATAGGCCACATTTAGGATTAACAACTGTTGAGCGGCCAGTGGCGTTGTGCTCGCACGCGTTTATAATTGTCATCATTATTATGGTTGGCACGGAGCACCAGCAGTGACTCCTGGCGGCGAGGCTGGGTAGCGGCACATAAGACATGAGCTGCTCTTTTTGACACGCGGTGGCTGGCGTGCATGGTCGTCTCCTGACAGGGTCATGCGGGGTGCGGCAACCTCAAGCTGTCTCCCGTGGGTCCCTAGCAGTGATTGGCAACGCCGCCTTCTCGTTAACTTGTGTTTGTTCTTATGTTGATTGAGTGTATTGGAATATTGTGTAAGGTTGTGTTTAGCCTGTTATCACTAGTTAAATATTTGATTCAGCTGATGATATCATGGATTTAGAAGTAGTTAAATCAATGTTTTGTTTGTTTTGATTCGACTGTGTCTGCTGTGTCCGTTCGTTCCGAGTGCGGCTCTCATTATGAGACCCTTCCCCTTATCCTCCTTCATGCTGTGATGCTATGCATCAACAAAATCTGGGCTTGAGCTAGTTGTGTGTGTGTATTGTTATACAAAAAATGAACAAAGAGGTTGTGGGAACCTTTATTAGGTTATTATGGGAACCTTTATTATCCTTTTATTTTAACAGAAAGGAACGAAATACTGTAAAGTATGGGGGTGACAGTCATGCGGTTGGTGTAAAATCTTGTTTATAATTGTTGTAGGTTTTCCTAATCAACAGAAAGGAACGAAATACTGTAAAGTATGGGGGTCACAGTCATGCGGTTGGTGTAAAATCTTGTTTATAATTGTTGTAGGTTTTCCTAATCAATTCACATTATGCAGGCAAGCTTCAGGATTGCTGCCACAGGGGTGATCCTCGACCTAGATCGCTCAACACAGATTGTTAAGAAGCTTAAATTGACTGGAAATCCTTTCAAGATCTATAAGAAGACTGCCTTTGTCAAGGTGATACTTTTTGCTCTTTTTTTTACTGTTTCTTCTACACTGATGCTATCAAGGGGAACCAAAAATCAAAACGCTAAATGACAAGAAGAAAGCTGGGGTACACATACTGCAGGCAGCGCCCAGGATCAGTGCATGTCCTGTTTTCTGCACTCAGCCTGACCTGTTTTCATTTTTCAAATTGTGCCATACTATGCGGGCTCACTCTAATTATTCCTGAGACCAAAGTTGTCATATTCATATCAAATGCAAGCGGTGTAAATATTAAAAACATTGTGAACATGAATAAAATTTTTTATTGAAAGTTCATTCGATGAGAAAAGTTAATGTTTCAGAATTTCAATTTCAGCTATGTTCGTGTAAGTCCATCTGGAGGTTAGCAATTTCCCTCCCCCTCTTCCCCCAACCAAACAAAAAGTAGTCTACTTTAACCATGTTTTGGCAGTGCACTCACTGGAAAAAAAAAAAAAAAATTGTCTGAGGTTAAAGCATCTGTTAGCTTGTAGTGTACACTTATCCTGAAGGAGTATGGCCACTAGTGTGGGTCAGCCAAGGCGTTGAGCGCAGCGTGGCAAGAAAAACAGTGTTGCGGTCAAACAAGTCACAACAAGCCGCAGCGAGCTGCGGTGACACCAAAAACGCAGTACAGAGCCTGTTGATTGATTGATATGTGGGGTTTAACGTCCCAAAACCACTATATGATTATGAGAGACGCCGTAGTGGAGGGCTCCGGAAATTTAGACCACCTGGGGTTCTTTAACGTGGACCCAAATCTGAGCACATGGGCCTACAACATTTCCGCCTCCATCGGAAAAGTACACAGCCTGTTGCAAAAGGGCAGCGAGAAAGCAAACGAGGCTTATCCTAGCCACGGGTGAAAAGTACACCGCAAAGGGTGCTGCGAGCAGGTCTTCGTGGGCAAAAGGGATCCACGATGACACGCTGCTGAGAGAAACGGGCCCTCGCGACTATGCTGCGTTGCTTTCACAATCGGGGATAACAAGGCCCGATCGCTCGAGCGAGGGCAAAATTCGCTTGCACGGCTTCGAAAGGTACGAGTCGGCATAGTAGGACCACAAGCGAAGACATCGCACCGCTCTTCGGACTAGCGTTCGAAAGGGGAAACGAAAGGTAAGCGTTCGCCACGGGCACAAGGCGCCGTTGACAAGTCCAAGCGAGCTTCAAACAAAGGAAGCGGACGGAGGGGAAAGAAGTGCGTGCTCACTTTTCATAGTTTCGGAGAGGTTCTCACTCACTCCCAACGCGTGCGCACAAAACATCCCGAGAGACTGAGCGCAGCGCCACAGTCGACATTCGGGCGAGAAGGGTCAACGTTAAGGGTCAACCCCGGAGCCGTCGGACCGCAGAGAAGGGGAGAGTCATGTTAGGGCATGAGAAGGGCAGAAATAGGCGGCAAAGCCCACGTCATGGTGGCAGGCTAGCCTCAATTCCCACAGTTCTCTCTCCTAAATTTGCCCTTTACCGGTCTGCAAAGGCAGCCGGACGTCACCCATGCAGTCAAAATGACACTGCTATGAACAACAGCTAACCTCAGTCCAGCCCTGTAACTGCTGCTAAAAGAATTGATGAAAGCAGAAACAATAATAAAGGGAACACATGACAGTAAAAAATATTTGCGAAAGGGAGCATAGCAAAGTAAGACTGGCGTTTCGTGGTGGTGAGGCGGGATAGCATCCATGGCGCGGAGGGGCAGCAAAGCATGATAATGTCCGCTGGGTGCGATGCCCGTGTGCGAGGTAAGAGGCACAGAAGGGACTCTCTGATGGCTCGTTGCTGTTGTCGATGATTAGTCGAGTCCAACAAATGCCGCTTCGGTGGTGGTTTGGAGGTCTCGAATTTTATGCTGGATTCTCCAGGAATCACGGAGGCCAAACCGAAATTAGCTGCCAGAAATACTTGCGTTGGCAGGCAGCATGAATGGCTGCTTCGTCAGCTGGCCTCGCACAGGAGCCATGGTGGATGGGCAGCAAGGCTTCTCGGCGACGGCCGAGAGCAGGGCACAGCGTCAGTAGGTTAGAGCTCCGAGCACCTAGTGTCTACGTCGATGGGATGAAACCACGACGTGCACTCATCCTGGGCACACACGGAAGTGTCACGCACGTACACACGCACATAAGCAAGCATACACCCACTGCCGGCGACTGCGCGAGCAAAGGCGCAAAGCGTCCTTCATCCCTCTCCCCACGCATAAGCTCCAATGTTGACAACTACCTTCACCGATAGATGAAATACAGCACAAAAAGTGTTAAACAGGGCAAAAATGACACTAAATATTAGGCCCAAAAAACACAAAATAAAATACATTGAACACCTAAACAAGCCTCAATTCCCACAAGCTCCACTTTTTTTTTTTTCACTGGGAACATATACAGTCGATCCCGGATATGTTGAACTCAAAGGGGATCGCGAAATAGTTCGATATACCGATAATGCAAAATACAAATTATGCATAAGTAAGGCCTAAAATAAAGCATTGCAGACCTCTGAAATCGTTACAAGTGCTAACATAACGATTCACTCACAGTGTAATGAAGAACAAAGCGTGAACTGCAAGTTACTGCACTTTATTTCGCATGAAAACAGTCTCTAAACTTGCCTTGCTTCTGGAGCGCCATCAAGTTCTAGTCATCCTCAATATCATTGACCCTTTTTAAATAAGTAAATTGAGCTCCTTCGGCTTCAACAGCGTTGATTGAAGCAGAACGCTGATGCAAGCTTTGTAGCGCGGCAACAGGTTGGTTAGCAGCGGCAGTGATGTCGTTGGCATATTCATAATTGCATGGGTACACCTCTGCGGCACTGGACACTGCAGCCATGATATCAGCATTGATGCAGTCCGAAACAGCTACTTGGTCATTTGCGCCAATAAGTCGCCCACAGTCCGAGATTTTGCCCAGAAACACTGATAAGTTGCCAAACTCACCGAAGCACCGTACGCCAGCGATCATGGCGCAACCGAAATCGTAACCTGGCCCACAAGGAAAGTTTATGGCAGTGCTTTACTTGACGTCGCTCCAAGCACCAGCAATAATTTTTATTGCTACGTGCGGGTCAGCGTTCAGTTCCAACTCCCGAATGAGGATTTGTCGGGAATGAGGCGGGAAGTTCACAAGTCTAGAAAGCGCAAAAGACAACGTCGAGTTTCCACAGTTGACATGTTGAGGATATCAATATCACTTGTGTCATTGTAGCTGGCAGCCGCTGCATTTAGCTGCTTTGATGCAAAAAGCTACAAAAAACGTAGCCTCCGAGACGTGCATTTGAAAACTGAGAACAAAAAATACGCCAAGAGGTTGCACATTTTGAAGGCCGTGCTTTTCAAGCTCGTGGGCCATTGTGCGCTAACAAACAAAGAAGGGACTGCAAACATTGCGACAAGGTCACCGAATCACTTTGCATTTTCTCATTTGGGTGTCGTCAGCAATCGGTCTTTTTGAAAAAAACTACGCCTGCTCATTAAGACCTACAGATCACGCATCAAACATACTGGTGCACTTGCAAGCGCCACGCAACAAACCAGATTAGCGCGATGGAATAATACCGCCTTTTCATCACCTGCACAGGCAAACGGATGAGAACTTGCTAGAACGCGTCCAAAAATGGATTAATATATGCTAAGAAAAATGCACTTTCTGGGCTTCGGCGTGACACAGCGTTCAATATAGCGGATGTCCCGCTGTGTGGGACTTCGATATATGGGTGCACAGGTCCCATACTTTTGCATGGGAATTTCAAGGGGATTTCTCAACTGTTCAATATAGCCAATAATTCGATATATCTGAGTATCATATATTTGGGGCTGACTGTACTTCAAAGAAAAAAATTCGTTTGAGTTTAAAGCTCCTGTTAGCTCCACTGTTTTTTTTTTCGGGGAACATATACTTTAGAGAAATGGGTATAACGTCTTTCCACTTTGGGATCATGAAGTGCAAGCTTTGTGCTCAGGATATTGCTTCAGCATTATCCTGAGCACAAGTACAGTTCAGGACATGACAACATTGCTTTTTCAGTATCACCTTTTGATAATGAGCTATTTTACATGTTGCGCATGAAACGAACACGCGGGGACCGTGGCTGGGCTAAGACAAACGTTTATTGCCATAGCACGGGTTAATGTAGTGTTGTGCGAGAGGGGTTACGGGGAAGGGAAGGAGAAGAAGCAGTGGTGATAACGGCGGCTTTGGCTGGCGTGACGTCATGGATACATCAGCGCACAGCCTCAATGCCTGTTGCACAGTAACCTCATGAAAAATGCGGAATGAAGAAAACTTTGTGTAGCAAATAAAAAAAATTCTGTAATTGTCATGCCCTGAATCAGACATCTTAGAATGCATAGCACTTTAAATGAGTTTCCGATTATGTTTTTTTGAGCGAGTCATTCGGAACAAGACCGGAAAGAGAAATGTATTGTAGATCAAAAAGTTGTACATCGAAAAGCTTAAAAATATATTCGCAACAATATGTTCATGAAACTTCAAGATTAGCACTAAAAAATAATTTCCAACAAGCCAGTTTGTTTTCATCAAAATCTATAAGAAATAAGAAAGTTGCTAACAAATGCCACGTGTCTCCTTAAAATAATACAGTCAATCGTTATATCAGTAGTTTTTTGTATGTGAACTCACTCTTAAAGACATGCACTTTACAGCCAAATCATTCTCGCTGATTTTTTGTTTTTCCCCTGTGTATTTTTATTAAAAAGTGCCAACCACCCCACCTGTGATAAGTTAGGGTTTTTTGCATGTAAGCGACACCCGCGGTGTACTGACATCCGCAATGAGCTCGTGCCATTCTACTGACGCTCAGTACCGCCACGTGGAACCAATCATTCCTGACTAGTTGGGTGCAACATGCTTTGCTGTCGCTGTTGCATGCTGGGTCTGCGTTCTAATGTATGCACGCATTAGTGCGTTTTCTACACATGCTTCACTCCAGATCGCGTTCGAGTGCGGCAAGTAGCTGGCTCATTCAGCACGACGAACACATGTAGTATTCTGCAAGCAAAGCGCAAGTGGCCTCACACAATGAGGAGACCGCGAACTTGTGAATGGTTGCATGATGCGCTTGTACTGGCGTCACTCAATGTGGCTTAAACACATTCAGCCAAGCAGATATCAGTACATGACTGATGGTTATTTATTTTTATGTGTATGTATTTCATGGTTAAAGTATGTGCTAATTCATTTAAATAAATAATTAAACTTCATTTGGGCTCCAATTTACTTATTTATTTTTATGTATAGCGTGCCTGAGGATGATTTACTGTTGAACATTATTGTGGGTGTGCTTGAATATCCGTGTTATTTGCGCACCACCCTTTTTCGGAGCTCTAATATAGCAAAAAAATTGTGCAATTTGTGTGAGTAAATACAATACTTTGTTGCATAGATAATTTCATTATACATGTTGAAATTCAATTAACTGTACTCTTCTGCTTATGTTTTTTAGGTTGATATTAGCATTAAGATGATAATTCAAATCCCAAGAAAATTGTCATTTGTGTGTGTCTTCTGGTATAAGAAATTCTTGTCCTGTAATCTCTTTGTTTCTTTCAGAACATGTTCACTTCTGCACTTGAAGTAACCAAGTTTGAAGGTGCTGCGCTGCGAACTGTCAGTGGTATAAGGGGACAGATAAAGAAAGCACTTGGGGTGAGTGTTCTGTCTTGACATTCATCTTCGCTTTCTAAGGAACTGTGGGATCACAAAGAAGCGGTGTTAAGCATCGAAATGTAGATTTTTAGATGGTTTACTCTTAAGTGTACCGGCATCCAATTTTTTAGACCCTGGTTAATTATTGTGCGATCAAAAACTTATCCTTCAAAGCACTTGTAGCATTTGCTTTCTAAGCCAATGTAAATTTCATGATCAGAACCTCATTGGAGCAAGCTCTGAAAAGTAGTCCTGATGCGAGCATTACATAAAAGTGACTGCAATGCTGATTAGCCCGCCTTGTAAACTGGTAAAGCAAAATGATGAGTGGCTTTCAGTGTATTCACATCATGAAACATCGTAAATTAAAAAGTTTGGTGATTTACAATTAGAAACTCAAGCTCTCGTGTAAGAGACAGAATCTTGTTCCTTACAAAAAATGGACAGCTACAGCGCATGTAACCGGTTCAGTTATGGTTACATAAATTACATCAAAAGTACCTAGGAACCACATACAAACAGAATATCTAGTTTTAGAGCATTTTATTGGTTGTCGTGGTTTTGTTCACATGCTTTTTCTTTTTTTCCCCTCTACTGGTTGTGAAAAATGCTGTTATCCCACTCTTGCGCCAACTGCGCCAAAGTGCCCCAAATCAGATTTACTGCGCCATTTTGATAACATTAACGGAAAGTGCACCAAACTGCGCCAAAGTCGAATTTGGGGTGCCCTATCACCGGCAATAGCCACGCCGGCAAGTCAATACATGTGCACCTTGTTCTCCAGCCACCAAAGTCACAATGACGTATTTATTTTATTTTATTACAATGAATAAACAACAGTCAAGCGTGCGTTCTAAAATTCACGATGCTATGTTTCGTGCCGACGCAACTGTTGGGCAAGTTCGCTTAACGGCGAAACACGCTCTTCGCAGGGCCTCCCGACATCTAGTCCAATCGGTAGCGTGAAACTGTGGCGGCGCTTCATTGGTGGACGCCGTTCGTTCTAGGAATGCTGCTGATAGCTCATTTGAAGAGTTGCACGGCATGTAATAAAGCAATTTTCAGTAATAACTGCACGCGTGCTGCCAGAATGTCTGTCACGTCTATGTCTGGACATCGCAATCTAATTTTTTATGCTTCACGTCCGCAGAAGAACACGTAAGTGGACAGTAGGTACGCATTGACCCTTTTTCTCGAATATACTTTATCCGTGGATAATAAGACAGAACAGCTGTTTCGTAACTCTTGGAACTCCATCTGGCTCGCCTACGTTGAGCCCTACCTTCAGAAATCGCAGTCGTGTTAAGCATGGAAGTGGTCGAAGTCGAAGGAACTGAGATCACCCCTGAAGACGCCACCCTCGAAGCCGGATAAATCTCTAGCCACCGAAACAAGCAACGCAAGCATGCATCGAACGCTCCGGCATTGCCAACTGGCCAGGGAAGCGCATCCGATACCCCAATGCTGAATGAATCTGCCCAGCGTCTCCCTCGTAAACCCAGGCAATCGCGTCAGCCAGGTGATCACGTCAAAGTTGTGATTTGCCTGAGGGACGGCCTCAACCTTTCCAAAGTGGGGGAAGCACAACTGCGCGATGCTATTCTTCGCGAAGTGGATCTGCATGCAACGCTACTCAAAGAGGACATTTACCGCGCATGCGTTGAATCTAATCTCATCGTAGTAAGCACACCTCACCTATCTAACGTAGAAATATTCTGTCGGATCTCCAAACTACAAGTGGAAACTGAAGCCTATGACGTTCAAGCCTACGTTACTTCCCCTGAGAACACAGCAAAGGGAGTGATCCACAATATTCCCCCCTACGACTCTCCTGAAGACGTCTCAGCAAGTTTTGTTAATGACTGCAAGCCCACGATACTACAAGCTCGCCGAACGGGAAAGACAAACACGGTACTCATTGTGCGACCAAGTCGCTTTCCATGTCTACTATCGAGGAGCTACAACAATTTCTATCGACACTCAGAGAAACAGATACACCAGATATTATTGCTTTACAGGAATCGGGTGGACAGGCTAAGCTGGTCAGATACGCCTCCTTTACGGCTGCTTGAGCCCCTGACAGTCGCGAAGTCCTTGCCACCCTCGTGAAACGAAATATCCCTGTTATTCAACACCCCTCGCTCTCTGATACAGTGCCACACATTATATTGGAAATCCTCTCTTCATCTCGCCGGGCACCCACCAGTATGTTCTTGGTCAATATTTACAGCAGCTCACGACAACTACATTGCTTCCACAAGCTCCTCTCTTATGTCAAGAAGTTGGCAAGAATTTTCCCCCTCCTCGTGGTAGGGGATTTTAACTCTCCCTCACCCTCTTGGGGCTGCATCCACAACACCTGAAAAGGACGAATGCTGTGGCAAGACACCCACAATCTTGGCTACACCCTTATCACAAACCCAGCATACCCTACGTGGTTGGGAAACAGCGTTGCCAGAGACACCACTCCTGACCTCACTTTCACTGCAAACATTACGCATGCAGAGTGGTCCAACCTTCATGAACATCTAGGCAGCGACCACTATATAATACAAACGATCGTCAAGGCTGGTCCGCAGCTCAGGAAATCCAAACAGCCTGCCCTGGTTGACTGGGATGTCTTCCGCGAATTGCGGGCAACGGCCTCTCCAGAATCTGCCACCTCGATCGACCAATGGACAGCTTCCTTACTACGAGACGTTAAGGGGGGAGGCTACCTTCGAAGGGCAACTTTTTTGTTTGTTGAGATATCTTAATGAAATTTTCAGGGTACACTAATAGCAAAGCCATTTGAATAACCACAAAGTTTCATGCAGTTATGTTCACTGGTTCCCAAGTTACAGCCATTTATCAGGGTAGTCCACATGGGTCCCTTAGTCAGGGTCTGGAGAATTTGAAAAATGTGCTAGCACTGTGAAATTCACTATGATGATTCTTGGATAGGTGCTTTAGGGCAAGACAGAGCCCTTTTTTTAAATTTCCTTGCCAAAAAATGTTAGCAGAGCACTGAATTTAGTGTTCACAATTTGGCTCTCATCAATGAAGTTTTAGTTAATTATTACAAATTACAGACACAATAAATTGAAAAAGCGGGCTTGTCTTGCCCTGGGCAATTTATTAAGGTGCATAATAAAAAAAACCTGATAGAAATCAGACCAGCAGTTCCAGAGAGATCACCTGACTAAGCAGCCTCACTGGCCAAAAAAGTCATTCTGAGAAAATTTACTTCGAAAGTTTTAAACATTTATTATGGTCTAAAATGACCCTGCAGAGTAGCTAGATGTGTCCTTAGGCTCTCTTTTTCTTTGCCGCTTTTCCTGCTTCTCATTCATCCGTTTCTGAGCTTTTCTCAGACGCAGAGAGTCTTTCTCCGCAGCTCGTTGAATGGTTAGGTGGCCAGGTGTGAGTCCCACTGATGACGACAACTCTTGGGTGGCCCTGTAGCAGCCGGCATTATACCGCAAAACTGCGTCATGCAGTGCTGTCTCGACAGCAATCAATGGTGCATGTTGCTCCTTGGGCATCAAGGACCATAGGACAGAATGGAATGACTCCGATGCATTTTGCGTCTTTGCTCCCAGGCAGCGTTGCAGTAGAGAAGCCTGCGAAAGGCGCTGGTAGACTGGCAGCAGCGCTTCTGCAACGTAGCCCGGAAGATTGTATTTGTGCTTTGGAGGTGGCACGCCATTCCCCTTGCAGGCATTATGACGGCACCACGAGTCTGCATCTTCCGGGCACAAGTCATGGGGAGGATCCTCGTCAGTTGAGGTGACGTGATAATATGACGCCATCACTGCACGCTGCATTGCAGCCACATTGTTTGAATTGTTCCGCAGTGCCCAGCCATAATAGTCTGTGAGTTTATCAATAAGGGCTTTTGTCAATCTGCCCTTCCCTCCCAGAGCCTGTTCGCTTTTCTGCACAAGATTACGTAGGGCTGTGCCCATCCTCTTCCGGACATGGTTCAAGCATTCTTCTTTCACAATAGGGACTAGCCCATAAACATTGTCTTGTTGAAGGGCAGAGAATGTGGCGCTGTCCCCATCAGGTACAATGGTTGTATACCGGAGGTTATGCTTGGACAGTGAACGTGAGAACAGAGTTACAGCTGCTTCAACCTCCACCCTCCCAGACTTGGCATCAGTGTTTTTTTGGCACACATGGTGCTTCAACCAGCTTGCATAGTCCTCGTCTTCAGGCTTCGGTCCTACCTGGCAGCCGAGACACTGATTCAATAAAACTACAGCATCCAAGATGAGGCCTGTGTGATACTCAATGATTGCACCAACTCCAATGTGAGATGTATGTCCGCGCTTATGCCACGTGCCATCATAGTTCACTGTAATGTCCTTGCAGAAAGATGGGTCCATCTCCTTGTACACCTTTTTCACAGCAGAAGCCGATTCTTCATAGAATTTATCCAGGGTCTGTTGCTGTGGTTCTCTGAATTGCTTCAGGTGCCTCTGGAAAGTTCTGTGGTGCAGGCCACGGTGGGAAACATTCATAGTTGCCCAAAAGTCGTTGAGGGCTGTCTGTCCCTTCCCTATTTGTTTCATGGCCGTAATGGCTCTTATATTCACGTCGAAGGCCCTTGACTCGTTCTGACGAGCAGAGCTCCACGAACTTGAAACTATTCGCATCCAGGCAGCGGGACATTCGAAAGCTTCCGCGAGCCCCCCAATCGTGAGCGACTCCCGCCTCGGAGCGCCACCGCCACTGCCGCGGGTGGCGAAAAAAAAAAAAAAAGCGCAAGAATTCACGAGCAAAACAACATCAAGATGGCGGCGATCGGCCGAGTGGTTGGGAAATGGCGAGCGCGCGAAGTTGGGGTATTTTTGGCGCTCGCTCGCCGCTTGCCGGCTGCCGTGGCATGTTATAAAATTTATTTGACGTACTTTCGCGATGAATTAGACATTGATATTTACAGTAGAGGCAGTTTATGAGTCATACTGCCCGAGTATGTGGTTTTCAAAAAATCGACTTTTTCGCGATTTTTCGGT